GATCCGCAACTCATCCGTAATGCACCCGAGCCCCTCGGGACCCAGTCCAAACACACCAATTAATCCTGAAAATATAACACGAATTTACTCGAGACCTTAAATCATACAAAACAACAATGAAATTACGAATCTCACCTCAATAAAGCCTAAGGAACTAAAGAACTTCCAACTTCCGAAATTCATGTCGAACCACATCAAACCAACTCGGTTTGACCTCAAATTTTGCATGTAGTTCCAAATGATACAACGAACCTATTTTAACTCCTGAAACTACAATAAGAACCCGATATCAACAAAGTCAACTCCCAGTCAAACGTATGAGCCTTCTAAACCTTCAACTTTTCAACTTTCGCCAAATAGAACCAAATCAACCTACGGAACTCCAAATCCAAATTCGCACATACGCCTAGGTCAAAAATTACCATACGAACCTATTGGAACCATCAACACACCATTCCGGAGTCATATATATAAAAGTCAAACTCTGATCAACTCTTACAACTTAAGCGTCCAACCTTGGGACTAAGTATCCCAATTCAATCCCAAAACTTTCCCGAAACCAAACAAACCATCTCCGCAAGTCACATAACAACAAATGCACATATTTAAAGTATCAAATAGATGATATGAGACTAAAATACTTAAAATGACCGACAGGGTTGTTATAGCACTAGACAAGGCAATAGCTAACTGTAGAGAGATAGGAAAAGGAGTTAGGATTAAATGCCAAAAACCTCAAGGTAACAATAATGAAACGGTTGAGGAATATGTGATGGAATCATCAAGCGTTGAAACTAAAATAAGTAAAATCTAGCGGTGAACCTCAAAATATATCAGATCACGAAATATGATACTCAAATATCAAAAGAGAATGATGAGTTTTGTCAGGTTCCGGAGTGCGAGTCGGGGTAGACTTTTTGGTTGACTTTGAGTATTTGATTAAAGATTCGGCCATTGTCATTTGGATTTAATTCATATGCCATTATTTGATATTATTGAGTTACTATTGGCTAGATTTGAGTCGTTCGGAGGTCGATTCGTGCGAGAAAGCATTTTTAGAATATTGGTTTGTCTTGTTTGAGGTAAGTATCTTGCCTAACCTTGTGTGGGGGAATACCCTATAGGATTTAGCTGTGCTTTCCTATTGTGTTATGTGAAAAGCGACGTGTATACGAGGTAACGAGTGTGTACACATGTGTTATGTGTGGGTTGTAACCGGAATAAACCTTAGGCTATTAATATGCCATAATTTGAGATTGTATTGTATATGAAACATACTTAATATTTTTGTGGCTATGTTTTACATGATCACTTCACTTGTTTTTAGCTGTAGTAATGCTTTATTTATTAAATATCCACGTATTTTTAATATTTCTCATGTCCTTGTGCACTTTGTTGATAAATTATGAACTCATATCCATGATAGAAACTTTGGCACTATTAGTTGTGAATTTGTGGTACATGTGGGCATGTTAAGCTAATTGTTTGGGTATTGACACAAGGTCTTTGTCGTGCGAGCACAAGGTCATTTTCGTGCGAGTGTGATTATATGTGGCACGAGGTCTTTTTCGTGCGAGCACGTGGTCTTTGCCGAGCGAGTGTGATTATACATGGCACAAGGTCTTTGTCGTGCGAGCACAAGGTCATTTTCGTGCGAGTGTGATTATATGTGGCACGAGGTCTTTTTCGTGCGAGCACGTGGTCTTTGCCGAGCGAGTGTGATTATACATGGCACAAGGTCTTTGTCGTGCGAGCACAAGGTCATTTTCGTGCGAGTGTGATTATATGTGGCACGAGGTCTTTTTCGTGCGAGCACGTGGTCTTTGCCGAGCGAGTGTGATTATACATGGCACAAGGTCTTTGTCGTGCGAGCACAAGGTCATTTTCGTGCGAGTGTGATTATATGTGGCACGAGGTCTTTTTCGTGCGAGCACGTGGTCTTTGCCGAGCGAGTGTGATTATACATGGCACAAGGTCTTTGTCGTGCGAGCACAAGGTCATTTTCGTGCGAGTGTGATTATATGTGGCACGAGGTCTTTTTCGTGCGAGCACGTGGTCTTTGCCGAGCGAGTGTGATTATACATGGCACAAGGTCTTTGTCGTGCGAGCACAAGGTCATTTTCGTGCGAGTGTGATTATATGTGGCACGAGGTCTTTTTCGTGCGAGCACGTGGTCTTTGCCGAGCGAGTGTGATTATACATGGCACAAGGTCTTTGTCGTGCGAGCACAAGGTCATTTTCGTGCGAGTGTGATTATATGTGGCACGAGGTCTTTTTCGTGCGAGCACGTGGTCTTTGCCGAGCGAGTGTGATTATACATGGCACAAGGTCTTTGTCGTGCAAGCACGAGGTCTTTGCTGTGCGAGCATGAGATCTTTGCCAGGCGAGTGTGATTATATGTAGCACAAGGTCTTTGCCGTGTGAGCACGAGGTCTTTATCGTACGAATGTGATTGATATTAGCACGAGGACTTTATCGTACGAGAACGAGGTCTATGCCATGCAAGTGTGATTAATATCAGCATGAGGTCTTTTTCATGCGAGCAAAAGGTCTTTGCACGCGAGTGCGATTGATATTGGCACAAGGTCTTTGTCGTGCGAGTGTGATTGATATTGTTACAAGGTCTTTGTCGTACGAGGACGAGGTCTTTGTCGTGCGAGTGTGATTGATATTGGCACTAGGTCGTTGCCGTGCGAGCACGAGAAAATTATCGTGCAAGTGTGATTGATATTGGCACGAGTTTTTTACCGTGCGAGCACGAGGTCATTGCCGTGTGAGTGTGATTGATATAGGCACAAGGTCTTTGTCGTGCGAGTGTGATTGATATTGGCACGAGTTTTTTACCGTGCGAGCACGAGGTCATTGCCGTGTGAGTGTGATTGATATAGGCACAAGGTCTTTGTCGTGCGAGTATGTTTGGTATTGCGGCACGGGGTCTTTATCGTGCGAGTATGACTGATAATGTAGGCATGAGATTCCATATGTATGTATTTTAGTTGATGACTTGTTGTTAAAGCTGAGCCTTTATTTGTATTGAATTGTTATTACTGGTTCTCATGAAATTAATGTTATTACTTTTCTGTCATACTTTCTGTTGCGAGTCTTTGATATATTGCACAGGTCATTTGAATAATGAGTATCACCTGACTTGACACTCTTCACTACTTCATCGATGTGGGTTTTGATTATTACTGGATACCGACCGTGGTGTACTCATACTACACTTCTCCATCTTGCATGCAGATTGTTGGAGCTGAGCTGCTGTAGATGACGAAGGCAAGCATTGAATACGTAGCTGTGTCCCAGATTCGAGCTACCATTTGTTCATGATAGATTAGGACCTTATTTCTGTTTATGTAATCTTCAAACAGATGTTGTATTTATTTCTTTTACCGGTTTTGTATATCCAAATTATAGTGGCTCATGATTTGTACTACCCGTCCTCGGGGTAGTTGTATTGAATTCTTTTGCGATGTCATTAATAACATTGATGATTTCTTATTATAGTAGTGACTTATACTATTTTTCTTACTTAGTGAGTTGAATTAGGTACCATCACGACTTGTTGAGGGTTTTGGTCATGACATTTTATGACTGGCAGCAAAATCTAACAGCTGCTGAAGGTCCATATCAACTAGACAAGTTGGAACTACCTAGTTTCAGGATTCGATAAGGCTAATTTCTTTGTTAGTTAGATAGCATGTGTCAAAATTGGCAAGAACCTCTGCTTTATGGCCAATCTCTTTTAATTGAGATCCAATGGACTCAATGTTGTAATAGCTAATATAAACGTTTGGTGGCGGGAGTAAGATGCACATTCAATGCTAGATGTAATTTAATAAAAGATTTGTGGTTGGAAAACATAGGGAAATTTTTTTAAAAATACTAACATATGCTAAAGGATCTATTATATATTTGACAACTGAAAAGGAATCACTATTGGACTAAGTTTGGCTAAAGATAAATTTAATATGGTGCGATAGTATCCGCTTAATTTGGTCCAAGTCCACATAATTTTTTAAAATTATTAAGAGTATTCCTACACATGTAGCTTTCTTTTTTCTTTTCAGCTGCCATTATTGGGATTGTATTGTACCTTCAACAACCGATTTAAATATGTGATCCTCCAAGCTATTCACCAAATATAATAAAAGTGACACTCTCAACTATCAACCCTTAATAGAGGTAACGTACCCGTTGCCCCGAAGACCTCCCATACAAATATCAATACTATTGGAGGGACTATGACAAATACTGTTCGAAGTATTGCCTAAATGAACCAAAACTGTTAGCCAAATGTCTAGTTATGGTTAGTAGAACCGTACGTGGAACCTCTAATTGTAATTAGTATGTGACCGTTTTAGTTAAAAATTTAACTATTAAAGAGAAGATTTAAATTACAGGATCGAGTATATGTTTTTCAATACGCACTCTCATATGCTAGTCTGATTCTGACCATGCACTAGAATCTTTTTTATTGAAAGGTAGAATGACATTTGAACTTAAGATCTCTATTTGTTGTGATGCCATATTAAAATATGATATCAGATCATTAAAAATGACATTTTTATACAATTATCATGTCTTAGACACGATGTAATTATTAACAAAGCATTGGTTAGCGATCTTAGTTTTGGATGGAGTAAACAACATATTGATTCTTGGTAATCATTCTCCCATGAACTAGTTTTTAGGAGAGAGTTAGGTCTAATATTTTTTTTTCTTACCATGATATATCCATGTCGTGCCCAACCCCAGTTATTGTGTTTCCTAGTATTGTGTTCTAATTAGTATGCCTAGGCATACGAGGGGATGTTAAGTATCCCACAATATTTAAAATATATATTTTTATTTTCTTATATAATTTTGGGTAATTTTCACCAAAATTTTCTCTTTGTCGGTCAAATTGAAGGTACTTACAAGAAGATACAAAGCGCTCTCTTTTTTGAGATAAAATAAAACCGCGTGGTTTTCATATCATCATTTCATGTGACCACAACTCAACCAAAACGACCTCAACAAAGAAGAAACGACCAAAAAGATAAAAGAGAAGAAGAAAAGTCCTATCAAAACCCTAGACATAATCATACATCTTATCCAATCATTTCCACTTATTCCTTTCTCTAAATTCCCACCGAAAGTTTCTCTTTAGAATCCAAAAAACACCATCAATATGCAACAAGAAAACATGCTAGAAAACTTGGATTTTTGCCATCATTTGACCCAAAATAAATCAAACGAGAATATGGGAGAATATGGTTTTGATATTCCAGCTATCAAAAGCTTTTGTAGCTCATCATTTTACTCTCAATCAGTGAAATTTCAAGAAACTGTAGAGAGTATTACTACTCCAGAGGCAAGAGCTATTGCTGCTTCTAAGAATCATAAAGAAGCTGAAAGAAGAAGAAGAGAGAGGATTAATTCTCATCTTGATAGACTCAGAACCCTACTTTCCTGCAATTCAAAGGTAATTTCTTTGCACGAATCATGTGTATATATAAAGATTTTTTTGCACTGTCAATCATGTAAAGAATATCAATAAGTAAATCCCTTTTAAATATGAGATTTGGAATTTTGAAAATATGATACGCTACCTGATTTAACAGGTAAAAATGACTTAAACTCGTGGTGTAAAATTTTTTACGCCGCCGTTCATGGTTCATATAACTTAAACTCTTATTATTAGTACTTTTGTGTTACCCCCTTACTTTCTCGTTTTTCTTATTAAATATGCTGAAATCAGTTGCGTATCCAGAATTTTCATCGAAGAGTGTCAAAATATAAATAATTAGATAAATCGAAAAGTGAAGGGAATCAACGTATAGTAAATATACATAAAATAAAATAATCTAGCAAACGTAGCTTGACCCCCTTGCTTCAATGTAGCTCCATCACTTGGTGAAAGGTTGAATGAAAACATGATTATTCTTTTTGGTGAAAAAATGAACAAATTCATCTATTTATTTGATATTTTTTTTATCGATAATTTCTAAAAAAAATCCCTTTTTTTAGCTTCGATTTTTTTATTTAAAAAAAAATGGGGCATAGCTTTACAGAAGAAATTAACTTTATTTGAATCGTCCTTTCAATTTTTTGGTCAAGTAATTACCTTTCCATGCCAGTTTAGGCTAACCTTATTAGTTAGGTCATATATCTAATTACGGAATTTCCTACCGAAACTACTCAAGATATATTTCATATTGCAAAAAGTTAAGATCTCAAGACCTTTGGTTTTGAATTAGAACAAAATCATGATTTCACCTGCTTTCCCCCCCCCCCCC